CCCTTCAGGAAAAATCCCAAAAAGACAAAAAATGTCAAAAACTCCCACAACAAAAAGCATGATCCCTCAAGTCCCGGAATGTGGGTAACTGAGGGACTGCCCTCGGCTGAAACATGCACACAACAAACTACTCACAAACTTTACAAACTACAACGGAACAACACCAAAGGACAAACACAGATTACTCCTTTTCCCTCAAGTACCCTTCGACAAAAGGAGTGAGGGACTCCTGATGGAGTATATGGCCTAGGAACCCCCGACCCATAGACTCATACTATTCTAAGGGAGGCCCAATAGGCCCAGGAAGCACATCAAGCCCAAAATCACAGCGCCCCGAGTATTAAGCAACCCACATGGCACACTGGGGGTGCCTTCGCCCCCTGGTTTGTATATCTTGTTTGTATTGATATGGGTTTTATGATGATAAAACCTTGTTAGGAACTTGACTAAAGGGTTTCTAGAGTTCACCGGAGTTCGCCGGAGTTTCGCCGGAGTTCAACCGAGGAGCGTAGAACACGCTATAGCTTATTTAAGGTGAGTGGACGGCCTAATATCTTATAACTTTTGGGTTAATTATGAGATTACCTAAATAAATGTTGTATGTGTTCATAATTATGTTTAAAAGGTATTTAAACATGTGATTAGCCAACATGGTTAAGTTTGTATGAAAGGAATTAATTGTTTATGCATGAAATATGTTATGAGGAATTATATAAAATGCATATTTGCTTGAAGTGTAAGAGGAGCACAAATGAACATTATTAACTTAATTATATGATGATTAAGTTGATACGTATAAGGTTTGAAATGGCGGTCACGAAAACGTTGACCGATGGATAATGGATTAATTGATACCGGATGGTATAAGTTAATTATGAATTTATATAAACGCATGGCTTTGCATGGATTGTGATACATAAGCTTTATGTGTTGATTTAGCTATGAATGAATGAATATGATATAGACTCTATCTAGGTTGATAGGAGGTTGATCATAGGACTATAAATTGGTGGAGGACCCTAGGACTTAAAGTCCTTAACACTCATATTTTGGTGGAGGACCCTAGGACTTAAAAGTCCTTAACACTCATATTTTGGTGGAGGACCCTAGGACTTAAAGTCCTTAACACTCGGATAATAAATTGGTGGAGGACCCTAGGACTTAAAGTCCTTAACACTAGGATTATAAATTGGTGGAGGACCCTAGGACTTAAAGTCCTTAACACTCGGATAATAAATTGGTGGAGGACCGTAGGACTAAAAGTCCTTAACACTCAAATACAAATTGGTGGAGTACCCAAGGATTATGATCCTCAAAACTCATAGATTATGATATTGACATATGGACAAGGAGGAGTCCTATACACTCATAGGTATATGGATGAGTTGGGATTTTTAGTCAAGAATATTGGCTATTAATATTTTCCCAAATAAAACGGTGATCTACGGATCGGGTATTTTCCAAGTGTATACGTACTGCTAAGTATTTCTTAACTTGGGGGGAAGACTATTTATATAAGTATCACCCTATGTTTGGATCTTATACTTGAAACACTAGCAGTTATTCTATATTTAGCCTGCTACTCGCTCGGTACTTGTACTGACCCCTTCGGGGGGCCCCACCATTTCAGGTTGAAGCTAAGGATTGTCATCTACACCTTTACACGGATGAAGAGAATCCAGAGGAAGACGTGGTTCCTGCTCCCTCTACTATTTCAAAAGATAAACTATGCTCATGGATACTTTTGTATTAATACATTGTATTGGCCTCCGAGCCTACATTTTGGCCATGTGTGGCCCACGATTGATTATTGAATATTTCCGTTATTCAACTAATCTAAACTGTGATGTTGTTGTGTATGTTTACTACTGAGTATGGATATATATTATTGATGGATAGTGTACCCGGGGGGTAGCTTATCCGAGGGGTTATCGCGGAGAATAACTAGAGAGAAGTCAGAGCAAATAAGTAAGAGAGAGTGTATATTCGATATGTATTCAGCGTATTTTTCTTTGGTTACAAATGGAGAAATGGGGTGCTATTTATAGTAGTAATAAATGCCAGATAGGGACACGTGTTAAGCATCCATTGGCCGAGGGGTCACATCAACTGGTTGGCGCTGGCAATCGCATGTGGCCGCATTTAATGCGGCTGTTGGATGTGACGTCGTACTTGGTACGGTGATTCAGGCGCATGTGGATTGGATATTATGTCGAGAAAGGTGCCCTCGACTGTAGGTGACTAGCCGAGGGCTCTAAGTAACGGGGACCTCCTTAGTGCTGAGGGCTCTAGGTGCCGAGGGCTACTGATTTTCGCCGTTTTCTCCCAGTAATTCTGTTCGCTTGAGTTGGCCATCCTGTGAGAATCTGGAGGCTTCGGCCAGGGGGCCGAAGGCACTCCCAGTGTGCTACGGGGGTTGCTCAGTTCTTGGGCGCTGTGTTTTGGGCCTGCTGTGCTCCCTGGGCCTATTGGACCGTCATCAGAATAGTAGGAGTCTATGAGCCGGGGGTTCCTGGGCCATATACTCCATCAATTATGTTCATGGACGCCTTGTATGATTAAGACACGTTGACTTGCGAGTGGCGTTACTTGGTCATACGGCGGTTGTATACGCGTCTAGATGCAGTCTGGGGCGTGACAGATCTGATATGGTGTGGAAGATGTCTGATCTTTGTGAATTTTATAATTGTCGAAGTCTGGTGACTCTAGTCTAGTCTGATTCATCAAATTCTCGTATGGCCTGATCTGATGTGGTATGGTCTTTGTGCATTTTAGAATTGTCGAAGTCTGATCTAGTCTGATCCATTGAAGTCTCGTATGACCTGATCTGATGTGGTCTGGTTTGGACTGAAATAAATACAAGTAAAAACATCTTCAATCCAAAACTATATAGATACTAGATTCTCACTCGTGCGATGCACGAAACAACATCTAATAAAAAGACATAATATCATTTATTATATAATGTTTTTTTTATCATATTTATTATATAATGTTAACAACATAGTATTCCTATGATGTGTAAATGTGTGAAAAGATAATATGAAGTAACATATATTACTTAATAAAAGTTACATTTAGAAAGGGTGATAGTTAATATTCATAATGTTTTGAAAGAATGCAAAAATAAAAATTATAGGATGATTGATTTGTTTGTCATTTTAATTACAAATCAATATTTTCAATGTGTTATGATATGTAAATACAACATAATACTCACTTTGACACTCATGTATAGCCATTACATAAGTGGTTATGATCGATAATTGTAGTCTCTGAAATCAATAATATAAATGTATATTTGAATCATTAAGTTTAAAAACATAGTTTTTAATGATTTATAATAGAATTTTGACGTAATAATATTAACCTTGACTCTTATTTATAGTTATGACATAAGATGTCATGATCAGAAATATGGTTGTCTCTTAAATTAATCATATAAATGTAATTTTGAATCAATGAGTTAAAAAGCTTACTTTTGAATGATTAATACTTAATACAAATTAATATAATTATTACATTGATAAAATTTTACAAAATCAGTAATTGCCCCATAAATTATGTATGACTTTAACACACATTTCACTCATCAGAATTTTTAGAAACATAATTGACCCCAAAAATCAGACCTTTTAACCTAACCCACCCAACGTAACACAACTACCTCATTTCGTGATATATAGAGTATTTTATACTCAATCCTAATTGGACTATTTCTTATAGATTAAAACCCATCAACATTTGAAAATTAAAGGACAATCCATTTAATCTGGTCCAAATGGTGGAACTGTTGGATAATATCCTGTCGCTCTACCATGTTTAAAGATAACCATTATATTATTAACACTAGCAAAAATATGGGTTTCAAGTAGATCAAAACAGTCATTATATAATTGTAACTGATCGATGAGATTTACGGGGCGGAGGTAGGGGGTGTGGTCGAGATCAGCTCACAAGCTCACCCCAAATTTGGAAATTTTTACCCCATAATAGTTAAAGTGTAATTCTCTAAATAGATTTACATGAAAATTTAATTGTACATACCCATTCTAACATTTGTTTCTGGTTAATGTTGATGTGTCAAGTTTGTTAGAGGGTGTTTGGATCTATATTCCGATCCTTCAAAAAGCAAAAACAGATATTGAAGTGTTTGAGTAAAGGTGCAGAAGTATGTTTTTAGAAGATGAGGGAGACCAACTTCTAAAATACTGCTTCTAATTCTTCTTCTACTTTTAATAAAGAAGCATAACATAGATCCCGTTTGGTAACTCAGTTTTTCGGCTTACCAGGCTTATTAGCCAACTTTTTAACCAAACACATAACTTTTGATTTCGCGCACTGAATTGTGTAATAATAAAAAAAAGTAAGATTGTAGTTACTTTTCTGGCTGTATTGGCTGAAGTTACTGTACATGATCATTTTAGCTATTTTCATATAATTTTTTCTTTATTTAATTCATAAAATATATTTTAAATATAATTTTTTTTCACAAATCAGTAGAATTAGTTAATACAACCACTTCAATTAGAATTTCATAAATTTCAATAGAATCAGTCGATTCAGCCGATTTCAGTGTTACCAAACGATCTCATAATCAGTTCCAAACATCGCTTAGAGTGAAAACAAAATGAAATTGAAGGACTTGAATGCGCAAGATCCGAAAGATGAAATGTGTTGATATAGGGCGCGAAGGAATGAAAACTGTCAATCTAGGACCTAAAATTTCATAGGTTTTGATTTGTTAGTAATTTCATTGCTAATTTTTTATGAATTCTTTCTATACAAAAGTTTATTAGTTTAATAAAATTGAATATGGAAAACTGTTAAATGAGTCCACGTACTATTTCGAAAAAGTCAATTAAACTCACATACTATTTATTCGATCAATTAAGTACACATAGTCTCAAATTTCAATCAAATTTGCCATTTAATCGGTAAACAAATGGTAATCCCTTATTTTTTGTACTGTTTCTATTTTCTTTTCCTTTTTCTATTTCCTCTTCTTGCCCCCTCGTTCGTACCCGTTGTCCATCCGCCCCCTGCAACTCCCTCTCTTCTTGCTTCCATTTTTTTCTACCCCCTTCTTCTTTCCCGTAATCCACCCCCTTCTTGTTTCCCTTTTCTTTCTTTGTTTCCTTCTTCTTCACTCTATTTCTTCTATCCCACCCAACCTTCTATATCCCCTCTTTTCATGCCCAGAGACCTGACGGCGACCCTTCCTCTTCTTCAATGGCAACCAGGGGGCGACAGAGAGTACGACAGAGGCGGCATAGCTCGACGGCGGCGGCAGAATGATGAAGATGGTTGGACGTTTTCATCACAGAACTTGACGGAGATAGTACTGGCAGAGATCAACGGTGGCAGAAGATGCAAAGCTAGAGGGTAAAGAAGGAAGAAATAATAGAAGAAAATAAAGAAAGAAGAAAAGGGAGAAAAAAGTTGCAGAGAATGGGAGAATGAAGAAGAAGAAGAAAACATTTAATAAAAAGGGGAAAAAGAAGATCTAATGCCACCCAGACGGCCATATCAACCCTAGTAGCAAAAAAAGCCATGTTGACGATCCACGCAGGCTGATTAACCAGAGAAACCTAGATTGATAAAAAAATTAAATTAAGGCCTCGAGCTTATGTAGCCTCATTTGTCGCTAAATAGGGACAACCTTCAATGTACCACAACAAACAACTAATATAGTACCTTTGAACACTGACTTCTTCTATTTGAAATAGAAGATCCTGGTCAACAACGTTGTGACCGATCCATGATAAAAAGTCATCATGGACTTGCTACTAGTTAGAGCCTATCACTCGTTTAGTAAGTCTATTACCCAAATATATGTGTGGCCTTAATTTAAATTTGATGACATTGTTTCTAATACATTTGGTCCAAAAGGTTGAATGCCCAACCCCAAGGCCCTCCACCCCGACCCGACAGGATGGTGGGAAGGTTAATCACGCTGACTCAGTCAGTAAAGCGGCGGTAGGCCTTATACACGTGTGCACCAGAGGTCCAGCCTTATTTCAGGTTCTGTAATCTCCACACGGCCGCTGCGGGTTTCGAACCTTGGTCACTTGGTCCAATTTTCCCACCACTCGACCAACTGAGCTACCCGTGCGGGTATTGTGAAAAATTTACCGGTTTTGTAGTTTAATGACAATGGTTTTTTGGATCACAACTTATTAGGCTTATAAATATTGTCGATCTTTTTTATAAGAAAGTTCTAATGATGTTTTCTTATAGTCGTGCGATACACAATACATGATATTTCTTAATAAGTTAGAGTGAAAGAATCGGTACAAATAAGAAAGAAAATGTGAAATTTCTTAAAAGCGTGTAGTGAGTTTTGTGATACTTCTTCTACGAAATACATTAAAAGGTAAATTTCATCAAATACAATTAATACAATTAAACATATAAGAAGTTTCTTCCTACTTAATAAAAATATAAGGAGTACATATATGTAAACATAATATATTTATCCTATAAATTTATCACAGTTCATATATGGTACGGAATTGCGGAGTTTACTTAAAGTAAACATGTTTTTTCATATAGAATTCTTTTAGTAGTCCAAAAATACTTGATTTGGGTATATTATTTTGTTCAGTCCAATTAACCTACTATATGGCCCAATAAATAACCCAACCCAATATACTACACCTCACCCGACCTGCCACCCCCCTCTGTGATTACACCGATATCAATTCCTTCGATCTACTATCGCCACCCACCTCCGATCCCCCACCGGCAGAGATTTTATACCCGCTTCCATGGATTCCCCGCCAGCCTTGCTAACTAGATAACCAGATCTCGTCTACTATTGAGTCGTGTTCGTCGATCTACAACAGAAAGAAGCGAAGTGCCGAAGATCTTCCATTGGTTGAGTAGCGAAATCTCCAGATCGGTAGGTTTTCATATGAATTTATTCGTTAAGTGCATGTTTATGTTTCTTACCAATCTATTCTAAAAGTCTAAAACCCAAAGGTCTGCCAGTGATTTCATTTTCCATTCTTCTTTGATAATATCGAGCGAGGATTCTTACTCACGAACACCCTAACGGCCACTAAACTACTTAAGTTAATTTTTAATTGTTGTAAGAAAATACGTTTCTTGTTTTGATAATATGTGTACTGTGTTTGACTTAAACTTGATTCTCAAATACTACATAGATTGTTTTCCTGGACATTCCATACTTACTTTACACATGTGAACTAATTAGTTTTCCTTATTATTAAAAGTGGATTTCCTGCAATTAAGAGCAATAGTAACTATCTAATATGACTGAACGTTTACAGCAAAACAGTATTGCCCCCCCCCCCCCCCCCCCCCCCCCCCCATGTAATGTTTTTCGATCCTCATATCACTCAAACAAATACGTAGTATATGTTAGTCACTTAGTTGTTGAATTATTATCACCCTAAATCAAACAGACTGTTATTCTTTACAACCTATTCTCACTATAAATACATTTCAACTGAATAAACACTAAATACAGAGTATGATTATTCTATAATTAAGAAGCAAACCTATCTAACTAACTCAACTCTCCTTACTGTACACACACATGAACTAACTCTAAGTTGAAATAGTACTACAATCTTGCTGTAATCTTTTTTGATAATTCAGCCCACTCAAACTATACTCCGTTTTTTTAATGTTAGTTTTGTATTCTATTTCTGAAAACATGCCTTCTGCAGGATTGTTATCGAAATATTTTACCTCTAAACCATTCTATATATATGCCTTCCCAGTGAAACAAAAATCATCCATGAATCGAGTTAATTGTCTAATACATGTATCAGTTAAACTTTGTATGTAAGCATTGCTTATTGCTATACATTAAAGAAATTTTAACTATAGAACTAAAAATCTAAAATAATATTTACCCTCACCAAAGACGGAAAGTCTGAAACATAGCTTCTCTTGGCTGTGGATTTAGTTAGTTTAATCATTTCTTTAACATTCAATCAAAAGTACTTCTTTATCTATAACTTGAAACATCTAAAAATCATTCATTATTGTAAAATTACTTTTTTGTTTGTATAAGCTAATAAAATAATAGGTTTACACATCACTCACACATAAGATGATATTTTTCATATTGCAGACTGAGAATGAAAGAGAGGATGAGAAGAGGTAGAAGAATTGAGTTGTATTCATTCGGAAAGTGTTTGCTAGCGAGTAGTAGTTATAGGAAAATGAATTATCTTTCATAGAGAGAATACACATGTCCAGAACAGGTTGGCGTGATTTGATTGGGTAAAAATACACATGTCCCGATGAACAGGCTGTTGAGATTTTATTGGCTGAAAATACACCCATCCCAATGAATAGGCTGGCTAGGTTTGATGTACTGTATTTTTTACAAATTCTCCAAGAAACAGGCTGCCGGGACTTGATTGGGGTTGTTTATAGTGTGTTCTTTGATTAACATTCATCAATGTTTCTACTGTTGTCTTTATTTTTTAATTTTAATTCTTTGTGATAAAAGTCTCCACTGATGTAATATAATTGGGGATGTTTGGGTGGGAATACTGTTCACATAACACTTTGCTTTTATACAATGATGATTGATATCTCAACTTTTAATTATTATATGTAATATAATTTAACTAACAGTGAACTGTTTACAAATTCAGTTTTATTGGCTATTCCTGGCTGAGTATATATTTCCCCACAGCATTGTTGATATGTTAAATTGACGGCACATGTTGTGATTTATACTCTGAATTTTGTTTTATAGATGGATGATGGAGGGCACCGTGAAAACGGCAGGCACAAACTACCTCAGGGCCAGGTAAACCTAAATGATGACGAAAACTTTCTGCTCAAAGGTTTAGTTTAGTTTGCCAAAAGATTTGATGTTTAGCCAAAAAAAAGCCTCACGCTAAATGTCATTATAGGTTTGCATTTACTAACCCCCCCTTTCAGATATAAAAATAAAGAATGCAACTGAGCAAAATCAAAATCCAGGAAATGTAATAAAATTTTGGGTTGGTGAACCCTTAAATAGCACTTCTCCACTTGTAGGCAATGAACTAAAGCAACATTAAAAAAATAGTGAAAGCAGATCTGCAACAAACACAATGAAAGAGAACTGTCCCGCGCGAAACACTTGATATCATTCCATTAAATGTCGGATTTATAAATTTTCTTTTGGATCAGAATAGCTCAAACAAACAAAGATTGATGAGTCTTGTTACTTTATAAAAGCTGTTTGGTTCTATTATGATTTGCTTTGGTGGCAAACTTCCAGCTTTCAAAAGCAAGTTGATTCAATGTATATACAGACTATACAAATAAGTTATACTGGAAGTAGAACAACACTACCAAACACACATACAACTGATTGTTATTCATTTTATTGAAATGGAATCAATCATAACATGATCCACTCCCCAAGCAAAAAGTAAAATCAGCTCATAAATATTCCATCCTGAACCAAATCAAATCCTCAAAATCAAGCTCCTGAATAAGACCAGACATCCATACCATAATCGAAAAGCTTAATCCTAAAACCTCTATGCATAAGCCAAAATTAACAATCTGAATTAGCGGAAATAACAAAGAAAGCAAAATACGCGTACCTATAAGTGTGTCACTGATGAAAACAAGAACTTATTGGGATGGAGAATCTGAGAGAAGAATAGAAGACCAAAATAGGCTAGGGTTTCTACTTTCTCCCTTTCCTCTGAACCGGGCTATAATGGTTCGGTTGATTGGGTTCCTCGGTTCCCGGTCCCAAAGTCCCAGTCATAATCCTTAGTCATAATCCATTTACTCTACTGAACAACAAAACAAGTAGCTTTTGACCTGCTTATTTGGCTGAAATGGATGTCACCTAATGCTCTTCCTTTCAGAAAATTATGCAAATACAGCAGATTACTCATTCACTGCCAAAAAAGTTTACTACTACCTCCGTTCCTATTAAAACTTCCAAATAGGTTTGGCACAGAGTTTAAGATAGTGGGTATTGTGTGGTGGAGAGTTGTGCAGAGGAGAGAGAAATGTGTAAGAAATGTTGTGAACCACAAATTCTTTACTAAAAAGGGAAAATGAAAGTTTTAACTGGAACGGACGAAAAAGGAAAGTTGGAAGTTTGTTTAGGAACGGAGGGAGTAATTTATATCTTTACGATTACTAAACTCCCATCATTATTATTTCAGTGGGGGTTGATGCAGCATCATCAGCCGACGATGAAGCAGATAATGGCGATCATGGCCGAAAGAGATGGTGCCATACAAGAGAGAAACTTGGCCCTCTCCGAAAAAAAGGCTGCCCTGGCTGAACGGGACACTGCCATTCTACAACGAGACACTGCCATAGCTGAGCGTAATAATGCTATTATGGAACGTGACAATGCCATCGCCACTCTTCACTATCACGAGAACTCAATGAAACACACCCACCACCACCATCACCCCCACATGGTCGAAGCTGCTGCAGCAGCATATAATAACTCTAGGGATATTATGATGCAACACATGAGTGATGTCATACCAATGGCACCAGCCGCTCCTGAGCCCTCTCCTCCCCCACTAAAGGTGGCTCGACAGAACAAACGTGCTAAAGAACCGAAACCTGCCGCCACGTCATCCAACAGTAAAAAAACTTCAAAACCGTCAAAGAGAATTAAGAAGGAAGGTGATGAGCTTAATAACAGACAACATTTGG